ATCCCAGAACTTGGGGCTATCATCAGAAAAGCCCATCTTGAGCGACAGACTACACACACGAGCAAGTTAGGGAAAGTAAGTGTATCTCATTTTTATTTCTAAAACAACACCCCAAATTTTCTTTATTTACAGTTGTTTAAAAAGAAACAGTCAGAAACACATACACATATAAATAGTAAGGCCTGTAACAGCATTGTGTCTGTCTCACAAATGAAGAAGCTAAGATCCTACAAGGTTGTTTTACTCAAGGATTAAAATAATAAGCACACAGAACACCCACCCGATGTTCCTATTTGGGGGAACCTACCATGGACAGACGGCAAAGTAGATACAGTATCCTTCACATTTGACCTCCAACCCTACCACCGTCACTGAATCTGACCTGAGTCCTCCAGACACCTAGGATCCCCTCAGTGGGAGGGTGTCTGGGTCCAGAGCCACAGAGCAGCCTGGGGAGTGAAAGCAGCCAACTCCACAGCCTGCCCGCCAGCTATGGGCTCGCCAAGGAGACCGTACAATGCTTTGTAGATGGACTGTGAATCTTGACAAGGTGAACAAAAACCCGGTCTTTGTTAGATCAGAGCTGGCGCTGGCAGCTGGGTCTTTTGAAAAGCCCATTGTGAGCCTCAGCTAGACTTCCCACTGAGGTAGTGCTCCCGGCTGGAAGAGGATGTCACTTCGTTCCAACGCTTTGTTCCTTCTCTTGGAACCCTTCTCCATCCCAGCAAGCAAGACATCTCTGAGAAATAAGCAATCTGGACGATGAGGTCAGAACACTTTGTTAGTACAAAGAATGATAGCTGGCACTTCTTGACAGCTTAATTTGAACCAAGCAATAGTCTAGGACAGAGGTTCTCAACCTGTGGGTCACTACCCCTTTGGGGTCACATATCAGATATTTACATTACAACTCATAACAGAAGCAAAATTACAGTAACAAAGTAGCAACAAAATAATTTTACGGTTGGGGGGGTCACCACAACATGTGGAACTGTATTAAAGGGTCACAGTATTAGGAAGGTTGAGAACCAGTGCTCTAGGGGAAATCTCACTGAGGTCAAATGACCACTGTGTCAGAAAGCCTGCTTCAGGTGTGAACAGCAGAGGGCACTGTGCAGCTGTGGCCTCCATAGGAATGAGGTTCACCTCTCCGTGGTCCTTGACAGGATCTGTCATTCAGAATCGCGACCGAAACAAAGTGCCCTAGTTTCAGATCTCTGCAGTCCTCCTTCCTCACTGTGGGCCTCAGGACAGAGCTGTCGCAGTTCTGGATCTACACCCAACCTTGACCTGAGATGACTGGGTGGGATGAAAGGGGCTTCCATGATGTAGGGGCTTCTATCTCATCCCCAATCCAGCCCTAATCACTGACTGCTAGAGCTCGACTTACTGTTTTCTGTGACCTAGCACGTGGTTTAAGAGCGGCAATACTGCCTTTCAGCTTGGTTTCACCATGAAGTCTGCACACCCGCCTTGCATGTACCAAATATCACTCAGAGTGTTTCAGTGGTTGGAGCCCCCCTCTGTTGGAAGATACCCACCTCCCCTGTGCCACCAGATCTCCATTCCGGACTTAAAATTTTCACCTACTGTGGCTTTCATATCTCTCTATACTAATGCTTATTTGATCCCCAACTTTTTCTGCCACAGTGCCAACTGCTGTTCCGGAGCCCTCTTAATACCATGTATATGTAGGTGTAAATTCACAGACCCAATTACCGAGAAAATTCAATGGGGACAGAGACACCTGCAGAGCATACAGAGCCAAAAAGAGGCAAAACTCAGTTCACCACCTACCTCCTAATTCAAAAATAGAACTGAAAATCAACTAACAATATGGAGTGGGCTTGCTGACAGGTATACGCCCAACTTCCCAGCCTTCCTCCAGCTCAGATCTAAGCCTTCCCGGGCTCTAGTATAGTGTGTCCCTTGTCTCACAATCTGCCACTTTTCCATAACCAAATGTGCCCAACCAACTGGAGAGAGGACCTCATCAATGGTCCTCTTCTCCAGAATGGATGGGTAAATTATCCCCAGAAGACAGGCCTCCTCCCTCAGACATGATCTAAGAGTGTCGCTGGCAACTGAGGCCTTGCTGGAAAGGCCAGCTCTGATTTTCTATTAGGAGATGTTAATTATATATAATGGGGTTCATTACGCCATTTTGTACATGCATATAATGTATTTTTCTCATGTTCAACCCTCCCCATTCACCATTGTTTGCTCCTTTCCAATATCTTCTTTTGTTTGCTAGGTTTTTTTTTAATTGGATTTTAGCATTTTTGGTTTTGTTTGTTTGTTTGAGACACAGACTCACTATGTAGTGTTAACTGGCCTAGAACTCACTCTATAGACCAGGCTGGCCTTGAACTCACAGAGATCTGACTGCCCTTGCCTCCTGAGTGCTGGGACTAAAGGCGTGCGCCACCACACTTGACACTCCTCTCCTGCTTCTGCTGATCTCCCCAATTAATGCTCCCTTTTCACCAGCTCTCTTTTTAGTAGTTCATCTGAATTAGGGACAAGTCACAAACCGTTCTACTGTGGGTGAATCCCACAGCCTAGGGAATGGCCAGAGCCAGTAAAAGTCAACCTTTTAAACACTTGAATATTAAATCCAAATGTGAATGTGATCACTTAAGAACTCTATGCTTGTGGTGATTTGAGTAAAAATGGCCCCCACTGGCCCATAGGGAGTGGCACTATTAGGGGGTGTGGCTGTATTGGAGTAGGTGTGGCCTTGTTGTAGGAAATATGTCACTGTGGGGGTAGGCTTTGAGATCTCAGATGCTTAAGCCATGCCCAGAGTGGTAGTCACTTTCTGCTGTCTGCAGATCCAGATAATAGAACTCTCAGCTCCTTCTCCAGTACCATGTCTGCCTGCACATAGCTATGCTTCCTGCCATGATGATAATGGACTAAATCTCTGAACTGTAAGCCAGCTCCAATTAAATGTTTTCCTTTATAAGAGTTGCCATGGTCATGGAGTCTCTTCATAGCAATAGGAATATCTAAGACAATGCTGGTTAGTTTTAACTAGGTGTGTCAAGTGTTGACACAACCAATCACCTGAAAAGAGAGTCTTAATGAGGTATTATCTAGATCAGATTGGCCTGTGGGCAGATTTATAAGGCATTGTCTTGATTGTTGATTGATGTACAAATACTCAGTGGATTATAGACTGCACCGTTCTGTAGGCACATGATCCTGAACAGGGTAAGAGGGCAGAAAGCTAGCTGAGAGCAAGCAAACAAGCATCCATGTGCTTTGGTCTCTCTGCTCCTAACTGTGGATCTGAGTCTTTAAACTCCTGCCTTGGCTTCTTCAAAATAATGAACCATAACCTAAATCTGTAAACCAATAAACTACTTCTCCCCTAAGTTGTGTTCTTATTGGTGTATTTTATCACCACAACAGTTAAACTAGACCAGATTACATGACAGCATAGCCCTTCTTTTGCTGTCCCAGTACCCCACACCTGTTAGTCTGCAGAGATGGCTTTTCCCCTTTTTCCCTCTCTCCTTCCCTTTTCCTGGGACCCTGCATCAAAGTCCCATGCCAGCACATCAAGTTTGTGGGGTTTGTCATGCAGGAAACTTCACAAGATTTCTTCCAACTCACAGTGCCTTTGCTTCCTCCACTAAATTGTTTCAAACCCTTACCTGGGCCAAACCTCAAAAAGAAACATAAATGTAAAAGAAGACATGGACAATGCCCGGTGATGGAGTAAAGAGTAACTCTCAGCTATGTACATGTGGAAGGGTCATGGAAACTTCTCCAAGACAGTGTCTGATACCAGCAGGTCTAGCCTGCACCTGCTGTTACCAGTGGCCCAGTTTCTGGCTGCTGCTTTGTGACTTAATCACCTCTTCATGACTGCCTAACATTTGTTCCCCCCAATTTCACCTGTGTAGAAATAAGTCTCAGGGGTCAACGGTGGATATGCAGGCACTTGCCACATGTCCACCCAAATCCTCTTAGGAACAATTCTAGGCCCCACTTCACCGGGGAGAGGCAAGCCTGCCTGTGGCTTTGCGACTTGAATCAATCGATGCTTTTGTCTCAGCAGTGAAGTTCCCGTAAGTGCCAAAATCAATTCACAAGAAGGAACTAAGCCCTTCTTTAACAATGAACAGCAGCGAAGGCAAAGACTCCCAGCTCCCAAGATGCACAAAATAAGCAACCGGAGTGGGCTCAGCTCTGAAAAAGACGTGGACACCACCATCTCTAAGGCTTGGGGCACATTGTGGAAGACGGGGTGGAGGTCTTGAAAATGTCATTCTCTACAGTCTGGATGCCTCTCTGGAGTCCAGTGCCATCATCAGCTCCCAGTAGCTGTAGATACCTACATGTGGATAGGCCCTATCCACAATCAGTCACGAAAAGGGAGGGGCTCGCAATGCCCTACCCTTTGCCTCTGAACAACTGGCTGTCAATAGATTCTGCTAGCGAGGGGATTGCTGTCTTCAGTTGTGTGCTCACTGCTGAGCCCACCAGTCATCAATGATGAGCTCCAAACCCATTGTCATAGACATATATGAGACACATAGACATGAGAAATTCATGGGGACAAATGAGGGTGGGCATGGGAGGTGGGTAGGTAGTTAGAAGATGACCGTGGTCAGTATTCATTGCTTACACATATAAAACTGTCAAAGAACAGATTTGACTGATAAAATATAAAACTTTAGAAGGGAACTAAGGTGTGTGAGCTTGGCAGATGGCTCAGTGTACCATATATTAGCACAAGTGAGGTCCCATCATCTCCTCACCATGGCCATAACACTGGGGTCTGGTCATAGAAACTCAGCTGACACTTGCCCTGTCTTCCCTTCTGTGCTGCGCTATAGAGAAGTGTCCCTCCCGTGATAGTCCTGCAATCCTGTTCCCTTTCATCTCAACCTGGTATCACACAGTGGGCACCAGCCTGCTCACAAATGCTTCAGTGGCGCTTGCAAGTCAAGTTTCTACTGGCGTGTTCGGTACTCACCAGTTTAGTCTCAGCGGTTCAGCACTTTGGATCCATTGGCTGGGCTTAAGGATGCTTTCTAAATGGGGTGAGGACAACAAAGTTGCCAATGAGTAATGATACCGGCAAAAATATGCATGTTTACAGGTTAATGTGCAGGCTGCCTAGAGATAACCGTGTGACAATGAAGCTATGAAGAGAAATATCCAAATTGATACAGCCACAAAGAATAGAATGTCTGTATTTCACTGAATGTAACATCATGAGCACCTCATTGTCCTTGTTTTGCTTTTTTAAATAAAGAAGCAAAACTAGTCAATTAAGACATGGTATATTAATTGGTTAGACGGTACATTTTAACTTAAGAAATGTTAAATGGTAAAGAAAATTTCCGTCTTAAAATTGATGAAGTGTGATACTAGAAGTCATGCTTGGAAGTAGCCATAGATAGTGCTTCTCAATACATCCAGAAAGTTTGTTTTTAAAGCTCAGAGGAAGAACATACTGGCTGAACAAATAAATTTTAGCAGATTCAGAAATTTTGATACTCGGTATCTTCAAAGACAGATTGCCAACTCCAGAGTCTTTTTTACAGTACATACATAGTTATTCCAGTCAATGGAAGTGTGGTCTACTGGAAAGAGACCAAGACATGGAGGTTGGGCAGGCTTTGACTGTCCTTTCCTCCCGGCTATGATTCTACTTTTAATGAGATGAGTGACCTTGTACATATCCCACTAAATTCTCAACTAAACTCATCACTGGTAAAATGAGTGGGTTAAACTTTTTCATTTCCTAGCTCCCACTTTTTATAAACCTCTGGTCCTGGGTTCATCTCAATGGCCCCACGTCAAGCTAAAAATGTACACAAATGCAAAATTCCCTCAGAAGGTATCTTCTGCTAGCTTTCCATTTCAGCTGATTCTCTGTGCTTGTGAAATAAAATAAAAAAAAAAAAGAATAATTCATTTTGCTAACAAATTCTGTGTCCTGGGCTACGTCACCCCTCTCTGCATGAGTAAGGACACTGACCCACAGCGTCATTAGAAGGAGGTACCTTACCTCTACTGCCCTTGACTTCCCCTTCAGTGAAGACACTCTCATCCTCAGAGCATCCCTTATCTGAAAAGTAATTACAGTCAGTGGTCAACAGAGGAATCAGCAGCATTCCAAAGCCCAGACACATATCTTAGAACTTCAAGACCAGTGAGTCCGGCCAGAGCAACATTAGGTGGTTCAGCATGGCACCCAGCAAACAATGGGACTTGGATAAAAGTCGGAAAGTGCTATTAACAATCCGCAGAACCATTTTCCAGTCATAGCCATGGTTTCTCTTTTTTCCCAACAATATCCTCATGTGACCTCTGCTGGTCTTGACGGCAAGCAAGCTCAGAGAGTAGGGTGTGCTCTTCTTCCTCACCACGGCGGCCTGAGCTGTGCCCACAAGCTCAGCAACTCTAGACTCCAGGTAAAACTGTTTCACCCTCCTGCCTCACTCGGCCACATGGAATTGTCTGGCAATGAAGGAAGCAAATTCAAATTACCTTGTGATCCATAATCGTGCCAAACAGCAAGATGAAGAAGCCCTGTTGTAAAAGTCAACAGAGTCATTAGGAATGGCTTCCCACATACCATGCCAGTGTTATTTTAACCCCACCCCTCTGGGTAACCCCTGGACAGCACCTGGACATTGGCAATCCATTTCCACTGATGCAGATGAACATGCATTGGCAGAGCCTGGCCTGGTGGCAGAGATCTGTATTCCTAACACTTGGAAGGCAGAGGTAGGAGGATCTCTAGTTCAAGGCCAACTATGTCTATAATGAGTTCTAGACAAACCTGAGTAGCTTAGCAAGACCTGTTTCTAAGATAAATAAAATAAGATAGACCATCAAAATGAGTCAGAAGGTAAATGCACTTGCCAGCGAGCCTAAAGACCAGAGCTTGATCTCTAGGATCCAAGTGGTGGAAGTAGAGAAAATAACTCTGGTATGTTGTCCTCTAACCGCCACATAGAGGATGTGTGTATGTGCATTCACACACAAATGAACAGGGGTGGAGAATATATATATTTTTAAAATTAATGAAATGAGCATTGATGGGTCTTTCTTTTTAATCTACCTCCTTCCCTGGCAATGAGGATCACCCTCGTGGACTTGTACACATGGGTTATTGATGCCTATTCAATGACCGCTGATGTAGAAAAAGAGTTTTCAGCCTTACTGTATGGTTTGAATGAGAAGTATCCCCCATAGTCTCATGTACACCTAGTCTCTGGCTGCTAGAGCTGCTGTGGGATAATGTGGAACTTTTTGTACATGAGGCCTAATGTACAGAGTAGGACAGTAAGGGTGAGGCTAGAAGTCTGTAGCCAAACCAGGTTCCAGCCTGAGCTCTCCACTTCCTGACCCACAGATGTAGAAGGCCATGCCACAAGCTCTTGACATCAAGACCTTAGCCCTAGCTCTCATACTGCCCCCTCATGAAACTAAGAATAAAAAGAACTCCCTTCTTTTCTTAAGTTTCTTGGACTTGGCATTGTGTGCCAGTGACAAGAGCAATCACTAAAACATGGATTAGATTCCGTGATTTCATCTCAAATATTGATATATCGAACCTTTCTCATGATGACAGTTGTACAAGACATGGAACTTGGTCCTCCAAAAATCACAACCAGGAAACCACGGAAGTTATCTTTAAAGAAATGAGACTTGTGTCCTGGCCTGTTTTCAACTGGGGCAAGCATTTTGTAAATAGTCAACCATGGACTCTGAGATGGTAATTTTTTTTTAATAAAAGCAAATGAAAAGTACAAAGACCAGGAAGCTGGGAGGATCTTTTCTTTATCTGCAGTTTTGTTGTGAAGAAAAGCTGATCAAGTGACAATGAAATCTTAAATGTAAGTCACAGGGAAGGCTAGCTAAGAAAAGAGGATTTAGCTTAACTAAAAGGTTTTTTTTTTTTTTAGCGGTTTCCATGAATAAAAGAGAAATATAAATGTTCTGAAGAAGAAATACATTTAGAAGATTCCTAGGGTTTAATTAAGTTGCAAATAGTAGGAAAGAAAAAGATGAGGCCTGGAACTGCAGCTCCATGACTATACTGTTGGAGCTTTATGAAGGCCTGGCTTTGGTTCTCAGCACAGAGGAGAAGTTTGAACAGTGAAGGGGAGGGGGTGGAGGGAAGAGAACAGGGGGAAGGAAGAGAGGAGAAGAGAGGAGGGGAGGACAGGGGGAGGGCAGGGGAGGGGAAGAGAGGAGAGGAGAGGGGAAGGGAGGGGAGGGGAGGAGGGGAGGGGAGGGGAGGGGAGGGGAGGGGAGGGGAGGGGAGAGGAGAATGAAGTGTTTTGTCACAAGAGTAACTTCCAGAGTGGGAAAATTAGCCAAATATGGTTGTTCACACCTGAATCCCATCACTCAGGAGGCTGGAACAGAAAAATCACTATGAGATTGGGGCCAGCCTAGGCTAAAGAGTAAGATCTTTTCTCAAAATCTGAGATCACAACAGGAGTCCAGAGAGGTGGCTTGGCAGTTAAAAGCCCTTGTGCTCAGTTCCCGCACCCACATGGCACATGGTAGCTCACACCCATTTGTAACTCCAACCCAGGGGATCTGATGCCCTCTTCTGGCTTCCTTGGGCACTGTATGCACATAACATAAAGACATGCATGCAGGCAAAATATCCATTATACATAAAAAATAAAGGAAAAAACTTTTTTACTTAAGGCAAAAAGAATAGAGAAATTTATGTCAATCAAGAGATTTTGAGTTCAAGAAAACAAAAGCTAAAGTCAGTGTTTTCCCTTTTTTAATTTTGATTTTTATTTATTTTTTTTTTCAAGACAGGGTGTCTCTGTGTAGTTTTGGTGCCTGTCCTGGATCTTGTTCTGTAAACTAGGCTGGTCTCAAACTCACAGAGATCCTCCTGGCTCTGCCTCCAGAGTGCTGGGATTAAAGGCGTGTGCCTCCGCCACCCATCCAGTGTTGTCTCTTTAAAGCCATGTAACAGGAAGGGTGAAACTGACATTGTTCATAATTATTAAAAAGTATGGGTAAGATACACAAGCGACCAAAGCTGGCATTTCTTTAAAAAGTCTGGTAAGTTTACACTTTGTACAGTGGCTTAAGTCGTAGTGACAGGTCAACAGACATGCTTCACTATTTTGTTGAATAGTTACAATATCTAAGGGGAAAGTGGGGAAACTTTCTCCCAGACACCAGATAGTAAATATTTATACTTTGCCAGCCATACCCCTCTGCTGCAACTGCTCAAATGTGTCATTACACCTCAAAGTCAGCTACAAGGAAAACAAACAGGCATGGCTGTGTTCCAGTAAAACCCTATTTACACGCACAGGCAGAAGGCTGTTCTCCAAGCCCCGATTAAATGTATAATTAAGACTATAAAGCTGCCAGGTTTTCTATTATTCATAGGCAGAGAACACAGTCTAACTAAATGATAGTCTCCCCAAAGTGCAAGCTGAGAAGCAAGAGGGAACATTCAGGGGGACCATCTTGTCAGAGCATGCATGCTAGAGTGGGAAAAATACAATGGAAACCATTCCACGTCCAAATCCTTATTTTGCCAGGTGAGAAAGTTGGGACCTGGAGGAAAATGGCCTTCCCAAGATCAGATAACATAGGACAAGATCCATATACAAATAGTAACTAACATTTACTTCACAGAAAATGGCAAGAAAGAATTATAAGAATTCCTGGCTGTTCGATTTCCAAAGTGAAAGTCCTCTCGCTACACTACAGACAATGTCTATTTTTGCTGAGTTTCCTTGGAGAAGGACAACATTACGCTTATTTTGACCAGGGACCAACTTTTTACACCCATGACCAATGCACAGTCATTGACATGAGAAGATTAACTTCTGATGTGATAGGGCGGACCCAGGTCAGTGAGAGAAAAAGGAGGACCGCCCCTTCCCCCTGCCTGGTCAACTGACTCCAACCTTACCGGTGGTCAAGCATAGCAACTCACACCTATATTCTCAGCACACAGGAGGCTGAGACAGGCAGAGAGCTACACGTTTGAGGCCACCCTGGCTACAAAGTGAAATCCTGTCTCAAAAACAAAAACAAAAAAAACTTATTTTAAAAAAGGGGGAGGGGGAACAGAGGGGACCAGGTGAGATGGCTGGGTGGGTGAAGCCCCTTGCCACCAAGCCTGGTGACGTGAGTTCAGTCTCCAGGATCTGCATGGTTGAGAAAAAGAGCTTACTCCTGTAAGTGGTCCTCCGACTTCCACATATGTTCCGTGGCATGCATACACACCCACACATACGTGGACACAGTGTGCATACAATAAATAGTTACTTTCACGTGGGAAAACATGTCAGTCTAAGTGGAAGATGCTACATTTAGAGATCCCTGAAATGTGGACAGAACATACTTGGTAGCCTTTAATGGTAAATAAATTACAGCCATCCTTTGATGTCTAGCCAGAAACACAAAGCAAACCCCCCTTATTGAACTTACCTGGAAAGCATTGAGCAAGGCAAAGATTACATGGAACACCAGGTGTGTGCCTTCTAGCAAGGTTGCTAGACCAAAACCCCAGGTCAGTCCTAGCAGCGGGGTGAGGATGGCAACGTTTTTGCTGATCCTGATAACTATGGCCATGTCCTGAGATTTTGAACTGCCAATCAGAGGCCTCTGTGTGTTCACAGCAACTGCCAGCACCACAAGGAAATTCACAGCCACAATGGCCAAGGCTGGGATGGCAAATGCAAAAAGGGCTTTGGTCTGGTTCCAGTTAAGCCAGCAGGCATCTTTTCTGATGTAGCCTTCCCCGGGCTCTGTGACAGTAACTGTAACGACAGCAATCACCAGGGGACACCCATAGCCGACGACAAAGCCAATGGCCATCATACGAGACTTCATCATCCTTCGGAAGACAACCAGTATTCCATAGACTATGAGCAGCGCTTTGAAGAGCATCCAGAAGAACAGAGAGAGGAAAAAAAAGTGGCTGAAAAACGTCACAGCCACACACCACTTGTGGTCCTCCTGGACATTTGCACTGGAGCCAATGATGAACCACACGTTCGCAGTCAGGAGGGACGCCGCAATGTTCACGATGCACACATGGCGCATGTATGATATCTCTGTTACAACCACCCGGGACCAAACCACAGCTTCGATGGCCAGGCAGAGCACCAAGCTAAAGATGGAGACACTGAGTCCAATGAAAGTGATATAGTTCAGAGCCTTGTCCTTCACAGGTTTGGATGACATGAGAAGGGAGAAAGACATCGAAGCTCTGCTGTAGTTACAGAGGCACTTCACCGTGCCATTGGTCTCCAACAGTGTATTACATGGGCTCTCATCCCACTGCCTTTTCTCAGAGTGCCAGCGGACACACTGGATACTAGTGCTCTGGGATCTATTGATTTTTTCAAAGGTGAGTATGACTTCTTTCAGATCTTCTGGCAAAACCAGAGACAGGATCAGACCACTTACGGGCTTTGAGAGATTTGTATTCAGCCCATGGACTTCTTTCAGAATGGTTCCCAAGGTTGGAAAAGCTATGGCAATGACTTGGGAGGCATGGGACGGCAGCTCTCGTAGTGCTTGTCTGGGAATTGCTATCATTACTAAGACATCTTCTTTGTCATTGTGCACAGGCATGGAGAGGTTGAAACTGTTCTCTGAGGTACTGTGAGAGATGCGAGCACCTTTTGATTGAATGAAGGTTTCGTTTACAATGTCCTCAGATTCACCGAGGATTTGGAGTCTCTTGGCAAAGGAGTTCACTGACTCCAACAGTTCTGAGCTGGCATTTTTATTAGGAATAAAAGTCCAATTTGAAATGGCATTCTCGTTAAGGATGTGGTTGGCCATTTTTCCATAGTTCTGCAATGAAAACAAGCCTATTAGTGTAAAAAAGTGAATTTCTAAAATCTGAAACTTTGGCAGATCTAATTATTGCACCTCATTTGATACTTGTCTCTTCAAATCACTACTTATTGCAATTGTGCATTAGTAAGACTAATGGAAGAAAATTAAAATGATATAAAGAATATTATTTTAATATTAAAAAAAATAGAATCTTGCCGGGCAATGGTGGCACACGCCTTTAATCCCAGCACTCGGGAGGCAGAGCCAGGCTGATCTACAGAGCGAGATCCAGGACAGGCACCAAAGCTACACGGAGAAACCCTGTCTCAAAAAAAAAAAACAAAAAAACAAAACCAAAATAAAAAATAGAATCTCAGCAGTTGTCCTGGCTAGTTTTATGTCAACTTGACACAAGCTAGAATCATTAGAAAAAGGGAAACCTCAACTGAAAAATATGCTTCAATAGATCCCCCTGTAGGGCATTTTCTTAGTTAGTGATTGATGGGGAGGGCCAAGCCCATTGTGGGTGGTGCCATCCCTGGGCTAGTAGTCCTGGGTTCTATAAGAAAACAGGCTGAGGAAGCCAGGGGAAGCTAGCCAGTAAATAGTACTCCTCCATGGTCTCTGCATCAGCTCCTGCTTCCAAGTTCCTGTTCTGTTTGAGTTCCTGCCTTGGCTTTCTTCAAATGATGGACTATGATATGAAAGTAGTAAAAGCCAAATAAACCCTTTCCTCCCCAGCTTGCTTTTTTGTCATTGTATTATATCACAGGAATAGAAACCCTATGTAAGACAGCAGTTAAGAGCATTGGCTGCTCTTTCGGAGGACCCAGGCTCAGTTCCCAGCACCCACATGGCAGCTCACAACCATCTGTGACTCCAGTTCCAATTCTGCCTCTGCAGGCACTAAACACACATAGTATACATACATACATGCAGGCAAAATACTCATGCACATAAAAAAATAAATCTTTTCAAAAATATATATGTATATATTTATCTAAATATTATTATTGCACCCAAGGAAGATCCTCACAGTACAGAATATAGAAGTCAAGATCCATGAAATGTGAATGATTGTTTTATGGAGGGAAGTATCTGTGTATTCCATGATAAGTTTGAGAAATATTACATATACTATATCCCTATATCCCTCCCTTTAATAATAAATGCCAGTGCTCGTGAGCACACTCTAATCCCTGAGAGACAACCTGGGAATTTCTGGAATAAATCTCAGTTAGGAGACTGTTTTCTCAACATACATGAAGCCCTGGGTCCCCTTCCCAACACATCAAAGACTGGATGGAGTGATGCACATCTGAAATCCCAAGACTAGGCATGTGGAGGCAGGAGGATCAGAAGTGCAAGGTCAGGCTCAGATATATAGGCAGTTTGAAGCTAGCCTGGGCTACATAAGACCCTGTCTCAAAAGCTGAAGCCAAAAAAAACATCCTAAGGGAGCACATTTAACTTTTGTTTAACACACAGATACCAACTACTGTTATGATGCACAACTCCCTTCCAAAAATGTAGAGTCAATGTGTTCTACTCGGATAGCCTTGGTGTGTGGCCATCACTATGTCTTCCCACTCCATCAAGAAGAATGTGTCAGAACAGAAAGCTGAACAGAAACGTCTGCTGCTGTTGTAATGGTTGTTGTGTATTTTACCCTGAAAAGAACATTTGAAACTGTGAAAAATGCAAGATTTAAGAAAACTCGTGTCCGTGTTTAATGAAACTAATTTTTTAAAGTACCTTCATTTTCTCGCGAGTCACATCGCCATGTATTCCATTATAGGTTTGCAAGCCTGCAGAGATATTTTTTAATACATCTACTATGAATGCAATATTTCCAGATGTAACTTCAGAGGATTTCACAGCATTAACTATGCAGACATAGTCCTCAGGGCAGGACTTGTGGATTCTCTGAAATACGTTCCCGGTACGGACTGGTACCACCGTGTCGCTTACTAAGTTCATGGGAAAAACAGAGGATGATGCCACAGAAAGGCTAGGTGCAGGATTCATGCTCTGTGTAAAAAAATAATAAACAAACATGCATTAGATGAAAGGAACTAAACCACAAACAACCCCCATGGGAAAAAGAGATAGGCAAGGTGGTCCTGGAAGGAGCTCACTTGCTAAGAGTAATTTAAGGCAGTCACAGGAGGCCTGGCCGCCACCAAAATTCCTGGAGATCACGCTTAGTGACCCTTTCTAGAATTTGCTTTCAGAATAATGGTTTGAATTGAAGTGTGTGTGTGTGTGTGTGTGTGTGTGTGTGTGTGTGTGTGTGTGTGTTATAAGTATGTATGTGTGTGCATGTGTATACATGTCATGGGGTGGAGGGTGCCCTCCCCTGTGTATGTACACATGGACATCAAGAGTCAATGTTGAGTGTCCTCCTCAATCAGCTTGTCTACTTTATGAATTTTTCAGAAATTTATTTTGTTTTTAATTATATATACCTACATGTGTCTGTGTGCAGGTATGTGCACATAAGTGCAGATTCCTGAAGAGGCCAAAAGAGGACATTGGATTTCTTTGGAGCTAGAGTTACAGACAGTTGTGGGCCATCCAACCTGGGTCCTCGGAACCAAAACCTGGGCCTGTGAATTGGCAGTAAGATTTCTTAACCTTGGAGCCATCTCTCCAGATCTCTATTTTGTTTTTTGTTTTTTGTTTTTTTAATGAGGTCTCTTGCTGAACCTGGAGCTCACTGTTTTGGCTAGATTGGCTGAACAGCAAGCACCGGGAATCTGCCCAGCACTGGGGTTCCAGGCACACGTGGCCGTTACAGAGGTGCTGGGTTCTGAACTCATGTCCTCGTGCTTACTGGCACGGCAAGCGCTTTACCCACTGAACCATCCTCCCCAGCCCTTCAACAATTTATAACAAGACAAATTCTACAGAAATGGGGAGAAGGAAGATCCAGGTGGAATTTCACAGGAGAACTGTTTGGGGAGATTAGCTGTTCAATACTAAAGAATCGCACTTTCAAAAAAAATGTACATTTTTCCAATTGTAAGTTAGTTGGCCATTTCCTGTTATTTTTTTACCTATACCCCCTCAGAAAGTGACCTTGAACAAGCAACTACGTCCATTCTCTTCTGCCTGTCATTGTAGTTAAAGGGACTTGGCCATGGTTCCCTGTGCTGTAAAAGCAACAGCATTTTAATCCCTTTACAAAGCCCCCATTAAGCTGGGTAGTGGTGGTGGCACACGCCTTTAAACCCAGCACTCGGGAGGCAGAGCCAGGCGGATGTTTGTGAGTTCAAGGCCAGCCTGGTCTACAGAGCGAGATTCAGGAAAGGCGCAAAGCTACACAGAGAAACCTTGTCTCAAAAAACAAACAAACAAACAAACAAATAAATAAATAGACAAAGCCCCCATTAAATATAAAAATGTGGAGATTCATGTCCTTCGGTGGGCTTGGAGGGAAATACAAAGAAGTGGGTGATGAGGAGAATTATACAAGATAGATTTCTGTCATGATTGAGACATGTAGGGGCCGTTGAATTCTTATTCCTTCTAGTTTCTCTCTGTTTTAGTTAAAGGATTGAAAGCATAGAAAAGAAGTTATGTTTAATTTAATTCAAGACATATTTAGTTGATTAATTAACACAAGGGACATACAAATCCACCCATAAAGCTAAGCTGAAAATCCTAAGCCATCATTTGCATGTAGTTTAAGTAACTTTTACTTGATTTATTTAACCTTCCGTTTCCAAGGTTAGAGTTAGCACAATCTCTATTTCTCAGCTGGATTCTCACCCAACCCTGGAATTGATCTTTACCAAGAGGGAGAAGGAGGAGGGAGGCAGGTACAACAGAACATGGGTAAGGAAAGATAGCCATGATGCAAGCCACTGAGTAGCTTTCCCCAAGTCCAAGCCTGAGACTGACTGCCATTTAGAACAGATAGTGTCTGCCCCTCCTACCCCAATCAGGGAGAGATAGCTCCTGTCACCAGGAGTGTACCAGAGCGTCACCTGAAACAGGGTGTCCACAGAGAGGCTTGTGCATGTTTCAATTGTTTTTTGCCATTTGTTTTTATTACAAGTGAATACTATTTCTCCATGGAAATTCAGATCACAGCTCTGGTTACAGTTGGAAGGCGAGATGCAAGATCCATTGCATTTATCTGAAAACAGGAAGACAAAAAACAAAGAAATAAAAGAAAAAAAACAAAAACCAGCATGTGAGAGGCCAAATTACCATTTGCACACTGACAAATGCATCTAGTTCATTCTGGGACTTTATGAACAGCTGGCCAAGGAGACGACATTGGACTGCATTCTCAGCAACAAGAGAAAGCTGCATGATCCATGGTATAGCTGGTATCCAGAGGGAGTGAGGCGGAGACAGAAAAGGGACCTCAGGGTGTTCAGAAATCCCTGTTGAGAAACCCTGAGGTGGGAGCAAAGGAAGAGAAAACAGGGAGGGACACAGGAACCTTGAACACTGTGGTGGTTCAAGTGAGAAATGGCCCCCATGAGCGCATGGATCTGACCTTGGTCCCCAGTTGGTTGCACTGTTTGGCAAGGTTATGGAATTTTTAGGCTGTCAAGTGTTGCTGGAGGAATGATGTCACTCAGGGGAGGCACTGAGAGCATATAGCCTCATTCCACTTCCAGTTTGTCCTCTCTGGTTGAAAATGTGACCTTTCAGCTCCCTGCTCTGGCTGTCTGATGCCATGCCTCCACCACCATTATGGACTCTCCTTCTTGAACTGGAAGCCCAAATGAACTCTCTCTTCCTGAAGTTGCCTTTGGCCGTGGTGTTTTATCACAGCAACGAAAGGTAACTAATACAAATGCTGAGCAGAAAACATGATTGCATCTGTGATTGAAAGATAATTGGCCGGTGCAGAGAGAAGGAATCAGTGAACCTTTCTGTGCAGAGTTGGTGGATAAGACACAGGAAATGCGCATAATCTTCGCATAGTTTGAGATACAGTCACTTGTCATTATTCACTGGGGTTACTGTCTATATAGTCCCCATGAATACTGACTTAGCAAGTACTGCTCTACTGTTCCCAGAGGAATATAAAGTTAAATTCCTGGAAATTTCTGCTCATGATATTCTCAACAATTGCTGAGATAGTCTCAACAGCTGTGGCCTTCCTTTATGTCTATTTCCTAATAAAGACATGGTCTTTAATATATATCGTTTATTCATTAAGTTGAGCTCATAGTACACAGAACTCTCAGTGCACAGTGCTCTTACTCAAGCCTGAACAAGGCTGACCTAACACAGACATTTTCTCCATCCCAGCCTTCTTTGAACTAAAAACACTAAACAGCATTCCAGCATTCCTGTTAGAGGATTGCTTGAAAAAGAAAAATCACCACCTGAAAGTCCCAAAGCACAAAATGATGTTTCCTGATTAGTGTTTTATTATTGTTGTTGTTGTTGGTGGTGGTGGTGATGGTGTTTTATTTTATTTGTTTGGGTTTTGGTTTATTTGTTTTTGAAAATTTATGTCCAGAACAGATTGGACTGTGCCCATGTCTGTGAGAGATTATCTTGATTGATGATTGATGTGGGAAAGGCAGGCCTGCTGTGGGCCACACCAGGTGGGCCTGTGCTGTATAAGAAGGTTGAATGAGCATGAGCTAGTGAGAAAGCCAGAAAGTCCCACCTCTCCATGGTTTCTGCTTTAGTTCCTACTGGAGTTCCTGCCTGACTTCCTTCAGTGGACTGTCACTTGGAAGTGTAAACTGAAATAAGCCCTTTCCCTCCTAACCTGCTTTTGGTCATAGTGTTTACCATAGCAACAGAAAGCCTACCAGAACATGACGACACATGGATAGTGTGGGAACTGCAGTGATAAGGAAGAGCAATACCTTGTCCCAACCTAACTGGGCATGTGTGTGCCAGCCAACACAACGACTGTTTTGTATGAAAGGATACTAAGAGTTCTGGTTTAGGTATTTCTCAGTGAATAGGCAAATTTGCAAATACAGACTCTGCAATGAGAGGGTAAGTCATCAATGTATAGATAAACAAAAAAACTACTTTTCCAGGGACAATGTTATACATTGCCTGGAATTCAGATTTAACCAGCCATCCTTTATTTCTCATTAAAAGTGTTTATTCTCACAGATATGTTAAAAATGGTATGTTATCAAATTAATGGAGTCTTCGCCTCTGGTAAAATAAGGTAACTGTTCTCAGTTACCTGAGGTAAAACACTTTAAGAGGGATTACATTCTTATTTAAATTTCATCTCAGGTAGAACATAATTTCTTACACTCTGAATTGTAGCATGCTACTCACAGACAGGAAAACTTAAGCTAAGAGTTGCATCATAAGTAAGAGTGCAGAATACAGCAAAGCAGCACTCCCCAACCCCCAAATTTAGACGTTGCTGTGAAGTCAATGATTTTAAACTTACTGAAGTACTAACTTGCAAAACAAATTTGACAGAAATCATGACTATGCTGAAAACCATAAAGTTTGATGTTAGTGCAGTGAACAGTTGAAGATATTTTTCATATATCAGGACTAATCTCATAATCCTATATTGGTGTTTGTTGATCAAATCTAAAATATAAGCTATAAATAACTTAAAACTGTGTGATGCCTATTCTTGGTTATTAACTTGATGATGCCTGGAATTAACTAAAACCCAAGCAGCTGGGTATGCCTGTGAGGGATTTTTTTTCTTAATTAAATCATTTGAAATGGGAAGACCCACATTTAATCTGGATCTTTGAGGTGGGAATATCCATCTTTAATTTGGACAACACTTTCTGCTGGCAGCCTGTACAGAGGACAGGGAAGTAGGAAGCTTTTGCTCTTTGCCTGGATGTCCTCACTCTTGCTGGTAAGTCCATTCCTTCATACACACACACACAGGAGGTTTATTAGAATGGCTTATAGGCTGTGGTCTAGCTGGACCAACACAGTGACTGTCTACCGACTGGTTGGAGATGGTGCCATGGTGTTGCTGCAGATATGTCATGGGGCAGCATCTTGCACAACACTTAATGTTTACCCAACAATCGCCAGCTTCCTTTCTGTCCTCTTTTCCTGTCCAATATCATATTTACATAGATACATGGGCCACTGGCCTTAAACCTCACAGTGACCTGGAATGTTTGGGTGAAGTCACATGATGCTAAAATGTTAGTAATGATAATGTTCTTGTTCCTCTTCTTCAGGAATATGACCAGTCTTACCACCATCAAATCACCTTGCTTTGCTTTACCAGAACACAGAGTACAAGAGTGTTACATACATTTAAAAACCTTGAATATACCTTTGGAGAAAAGAAGAACAGTGTGCTCTTGGCCTGTTCTGAGTTTAACAAATTCATTTCCCTTTTAAGTTTGAAAATGGTTATCAGTCTGCTGTTCTAGAGCATGTGTGACTATTTACCAACTTGCCTGATTAGTTATGTAAGAAACAAATTGTAAGACATTATGTCAGTGCTGATAAACACAGAGAGCTCATCAGAGGTTATTATTGTATTAGAAAGCCTGAGGTCTGAAGACATGCTTGCACCATCCACCTCCTTCTCTATTTTGGCCCTATCTCCAAATGAATGAAGACTATTCTATAGTCATACATACCTTGTATACGACTAGATGTACGCTTCCATGGAGGTATTTGAAGTTCATCTTTATCCTGAAAAAAAAAAAAACAAATTCCCAAAAAATTTACTGTGTGATGTACTCTCTCAATTTAACTTAGAGGACCCACGTACATGCAAAGAGGAAAAGTGTTCAAGACTAGGAAGGAAACGGGGCAGACTCGAGTGATGATTCTGAGGGAACTTGCTGGAGAAGACACAGGTGAAGACACACTATTCTCTGAGTGCTAACCTTGAAGATCACAAGTTCTGAAGGTCAAGTTAGTGGATGGTGTGGTGGTATTGTGTTCCCCCAAAATATTGTGCATGCTAATAAACTTTTTTGGGATCAGAGAACAGGACAGGGACAATATTAAACATAGAGGATAGGCAGTGGTAGCACACGCCTTTAATCCTAGCATTCCAGAGGCAGAAATCCCTCTGGATCTCTGTGAGTTCAAGGCCCCATTGGAAACAGCCAGGCATGGTGACTCATGCCTTTAATCCCAGGGAGCGATGGCAGAAAGTAGAAAGATATTTAAAGCATGAAGACCAGAAACTAGAAGCATTTGGCTGGTTAAGCATTCAAGCTTTCAAGAAGCAGTTCAGCTGAGAGCCATTGGGATGAGGACACAGAAGCTTCCAGTCTGAGGAAACAGGATCAGCTGAGGAACTGTCGAGGTAAGGAAGCTGTGGCTTGTTCTGCTTCTCTGATCTTCCAGCATTCACCCCAATACCTGGTTCCAGGTTTGTTTTTGTTAATAAGACTCTTTAAGATTCCTGCTACAGGATGGGGTGGATCTCTTGTAGTTTTAAGGATCGAGGGAGAACACAGAAATGGCAGTTACATAATCATCAAGCTAGACTCTGCCTATGTTGGCTGCCTGGATGGAATACAGCTAAGGAGAAACCCTATAAATACATCCTTAGTAAGAAAAGAATAGAAACTAGGAATGGGTTGCAATAGTTGAATCACAAATCTGTTTTGCAGGTAAAGGATTATAAGTATTCCCTTAAAATATAAACTTTGATGTAATAAAGATATGACATATGATAAAGAAATTAAGACTCTATAAAACAAAACAACTCCCAGAGGCAGCAAAAGTTAAAGTAAGGTCTGAATCTGAATTGCTCTGGTGCCCGCTTAGGTCTTTCCTCTCTCGACAGTCACCTGCATACAATCTCTGTGGCTTGCAAGGTGAGTGCCACGCTGAACTGTGGCCTCCCGGGCTGGTTCCTGCCACCCCTTAACTTCTCTTGTTGTTGTTCCCTTCCCCGGAAAATGACTGTCAGTAGGAATAAAGTTAGGATCCTACAAAGATGTATTTTAATTAGCATGTTACTTATCAGGTACCTAGACGTCTAAGGTAACAGAGGGATTTCTCTTGGGATCGATCACACAGGAAAAGATCAAACTTACTTTTGGGGGTTCAAAGCGAAAACATTCTGTGGTCAGAAAAAACACTAGACAGCAAACAATGGTGACCTGGAGCTTCATTTTCACACATGAAGACTTTAACCTGCAACAGAAATGCAAGAAGATGGATCCAGCTGAAGGTGAGGACTGTTCCAGTGGAAGTTCCGCCTCAGCCCCTGTCATCCATATCGTACACCCAAAGAGTCTGGGATGATTAGGAGGAAGCCCCATCTCTCTCTCCCCAGACCCTGCCTTCTCAAACTGGCCCCCTCAAAGCCCACCAAAAGCCAGCCCCTCCCTAGGGCTGCTCAAGACCACGCCTACAGGTTACTTAAGGCCTGGTAGCTGTATTTGCCATGTGACTCTTCCACTGCCTTTCCCAGGGTCACGCAGGATTGCTTTGCTCTGTTCATTAAACCTAGAATTTTTAATTCAGCTTGATTGGCTTATTAAATTGGCAGCAGAGGAACCTAGCAACTTTACTTGGCCTACTCAGTGCCCAGCAGGGTGAACCACTTAGTAAATATACCAGAGAAAGTCACATTGGTGTGTGTGGCTAGAGTCATGGGGAGGTTGGCCTATGGACATGTCTGGGGCGTTTTCTTGATTGATGGTAGCTGTAAGATATCCCGGTCTACTGTGAGCAGCTCCACCCCTAGGCAGATTCTGGGTTGTACAAGAAAGCAGGCTGAAAACACCCTAATTGTTGTGCTAGAAACCTCATCCAACTACTGAGGGATCTGGATGCAGAAATCCATGACTAGGCCCCGGGTGGATCTCTGGGAGTCCAATTAGCGAGAATGAGGAGGGTTTATATGAGCGAGAATTGTTGAGACCAAGGTTGGATAAAGCACAGGGACAAATAGCCAAATGAATGGAAACACATGAACTATGAACCAATGGCTGAGGGGTCCCCACTGGATCAGGCCCTCTGAATGGATGAGACAGTTGATTGACTTGATCTGTTTGGGAGGCACCCAGGCAGTGGGACCAGATCTTGTGCTCATTGCATGAGTTGGCTGTTTGAAACCTGGGGCCTATGCAGGATTGTTTGGCTCGGCCTGGGAGGAGGGGACTAGACCTACCTGGACTGAGTCTACCAGGTTGACCTCAGTCTGTGGGGAAGGCTTTGCCCTGGAGGAGATGGGAATGGGGGGGGGGGGGTTGGGGGGAAGGTGAGGGGGGCGGGAGGGGGGAGAACAAGGGAATCCGTGGCTGATATGTAGAACTGAATTGTATTGCAAAATAAATTAATAAAAAAAAAAAAAAAAAAAAAAAAGAAAGCAGGCTGAATAAACCACCAGGAGTATCCCAGAAATCAGCATCCCTACATGGCCTCTGCTTTAGTTCCTATTCTTGCCTGTTATTCCTGCCCAGGCTTCCCTTCATGATGGACTGTGGTTGGAATGTGAAAGGCAAAATAAGCCCTTTCCTAGAGTTGCTTTTAGTCAGAACATTGATCACAACAAGAAAGCACACACCAAAACAACATTCCTTAGGAGAGGACTCTAATACCTAATTTCAGTCTAATTAAGGTGAAAAAAATTAAGAATTTCTCTCACCATTGATCCTTCTGCTGAAGAAGACAATGGAAGAAACATCCAGAAAAATGCATGTTCGGCAAAACCCTGGTCCCTATTACTTCACAAATTTCTTGAAAGAAATATTTATCAAATTTTCTAGGGAGTCTGGGAAAATGGTTCAATCACACCTGTAATCCCCTAGTACTAGGAAGGCTAAGACAAAAAGAACCCTGGGACTCACTGGCCAGCCAGGCCAGCCCAATCAGCCAGTTCTGGGTTAGTGAGAGACCCTGTCTCAAAATCAGCCAGTTCTGGGTTAGTGAGAGACCCTGTCTCAAAATCAACCAGTTCTGGGTTAGTGAGAGACCCTGTCTCAAAATCAACCAGTTCTGGGTTAGTGAGAGACCCTGTCTCAAAATCAGCCGGTTCTGGGTTAGTGAAAGACCCTTCTCAAAAATAAGGTGCAAAGTGACAGAAAAACAACAAAAACCAATATCATCCTCTGGCCTACACATGTGCGCGCGCACACACACACACACACACACACACACACACACACACACACACACACATGGGGGGGGCGGCTATCCAAATACTGTGCACCAGGTCTCTAGTCACTTGGAGACAAATAGCGTGAGGTAAATTAATGTGCATACTTGTCTGCTACTAGATCAAGTGCTGAGACTCCCTCTAGTAGATGAATAAACTACTGTGCACATAGACGGAAGGTCCTGGGAGGGATTATCTCTTCTGCGGCCATGTCTGCATTTCTTGCCTTTTCCGTAACAGTCATTCAAAGTCATATCCCTAAGAAGGTATCACCACAGCACGTCCATGTGGCATACGAACAATCCCAACCCCTTACTTAAAAAAAAAAACAAAAAACTTTGCTTATAATTTTTCTCTTGGAGGTGCAGATACAGAAGAGCAAAAATAGCCTGGATTTTGGAGACAGACCTGGGCTCCAGTTTCCTGTCTACTGTTTATAAACTGATCTTGCCAAGTCCGTTTTCCCATTCATCTCTCTTTTTTTTTTTTCTTCTTCTTTTTTTTTTATTTTCCATTCATCTCTTTAAAGGTAGTGCAGATCCATCCTAACAGCCAGCCTTGACCAAGTGGCTCTTACTCACCAGAAACTGCACCAGATGAGAGAGTAAAAATCAAAGAGACGGGCTGTCTCGGTTACTTTTCTGTTGTTGTGATGAAACGCAATGACCAAGGCAACAGAAGAAGGAGTTCATTTTGGTTTATGTTTCATAAGGGTCCAAACCCACCATGGCAGAGGGTGGCAGAGGGGTGTGGCAACAAGCAGCAGGCATTGGGGCAGGGGCATGAAACTGAGAGCTCACATTTCAATTGCAAGCCTGAAACTGGAACAGGCAGGTCAAGAGGGGAGTTGGAAGGGAGGGGGGTGAAGAAGCGACTATGGGAGAGCTATAAAACGCAAGGGTCGCCGGGCGGTGGTGGCGCACGCCTTTAATCCCAGCACTCGGGAGGCAGAGCCAGGCGGATCTCTGTGAGTTCGAGGCCAGCCTGGGCTACCAAGTGAGTCCCAGGAAAGGCGCAAAGCTACACAGAGAAACCCTGTTTCGAAAAACAAAATAACAACAACAACAAAAAAAAAAAAAACGCAAGGGTCATTTGAGGGGGCAGTATGGAAACCTAACACAGCAGAAGCTTCCTAAAATATATACATATATCAAGGTGATCTAAATGAAATCGACAAATAATGGGGGAGACAGAGCCACAACTGGACATCACTTGTCACCAAATGAAGCTTCCATTACTGAGATTGGGTTATATCTAACTGAGTTGTTAGACAAAAGGGTCCCATGGGAATCCTCAAATAACCCACACTGTTTCCAAGATTATAGGTTGCTCTCCACAAACTGAGAGCAAGGCCCCATTGCTGAAGACAATGTCCACACAACTCATGGAACGTGGAGAAGTGAAGCAGGTGCCTACATAGAACCTTCATCCCTACATGCTGGTGTATTTGGTACAGGAAGGTACTCTGCATGCTATCAAAAGAGAAACATGAACACCAGCCCAGCTACAAACCCTTTGATCTACAATGCTGTCCTGCCTGCAAGATACGCCAGGGTAACGGCGGCAGAAAGCTCGTGGGAGTAACTAGCCAATGTCTGGTTTGACTTAAGGCCCACTCCACTCTACAAGGCAGAACCCATATGTGACTCTGCTCAGGTGGCCAAGAACCTGAAACTAGATAGCCCAGGGACCCAGGGTAAAACCAAATACTACTGTTCTAAAACAATAAAAATAGCAAAATAATGACTCCTAATGACATTCTGCTACACTTATCGATCAGTGCCTTGCTCATCCATCATCAGAGACACTTCCTTCTGCAGCAGATGGGAACAAATACAGAGATTCACAACCCGACATTATGCAGAGAGTGAGAAACCTAGAACCCTCAACCCTAAAGGAATTTCTCCAACAAATCCCTCCCCTCAGGGCTCCAGGAACCCTGTGAAAGAGGGGGCAGAAAAACTGTAAGAGTCAGAGGGGATGGAGGACACCAAGAAAACAAGGCCCTCTAAATCAGCATGATCAAAGAACATATGAACTCCCAGAAACTGAGGCAGCATACACAGGGCCTGAGAGAGTCTAACCCAGGTCCTCTGTGTATACATCCTGGCTTCTAGCTTAGTGTTGTCATTGGATTCCTGAGTGTGCAAACAAAGGGGTCTCTGATTCATGTGCCTTCTCTTGGGCTTTTTTTTCTTCTGTTTGTTTTGTCCAATTCTGGTGTGTTAGTTTTTGTTTTACCTCATTATATTTTATCTTATTTTTGTCCCTTAGAAGCCTATTTGCTTTCCGAGAGACAGAAAAGAGATGGATCTAAATGGGAGAGGAGGTGAGGAGGAACTGGGAGGAGTAGAGGGAGGAGAAAGAGTAATTAGGATATATTATGTGAGGAAAAAAATCAAAAGGAAGTCTGAGCAGGGACACAGGAGCAGGAGGAACAACGGCTGAGGAATGGCAGTGAATGTTCAAGGACATGGGGATTCTGTGCACAGAACTCAGGATGGTTAGCTAACCATCACAAAACAAAATACCAGAAGAACCTGTATAAGTCCTCTTAAAGTGCCCACACATTTCACAGACACGCCTGACTTTCAAATTTTGTTACCACGGCACAATAAAAAACAGCATACGTATGAGTCAGTATGCATATACAAATACAGATTTCTATATACAAAACTGAAAATACATAATTTCCCACTTTAAACATTTTATTATGATGAAAACATCCCTCTCAATACACACACACACTACCAGATACCCTGATATGTCTGATATTTTTATCTTGTGTGCTACTTTAGTCTATTTGCTGTCTTCTCACGTATTGGCTGTGACCCACCATATAAACTCACAAGCCTCTAATGCATTATCTCCTGTCAGTTAAAAGACCAACAGTCCACTACAAGGTTGACTGTCATTGTCGGGGTTTTCAGTCCTTTGACTGACATGATTGTTTTCAATCCTTCTTCTTCACTCTTCTTCATGATTATTCTGAAATCTCCCTCTCAAGGC